CTGGAGCCGCGGGGCCCAGGGTGAGAAGGGTGCAGGCACGAGGCCAGGGCTCATGGCCAGGCGGGGTGCCCAGGGAAGACCGCTCCCCCCACATCCGTGAGGCATCTGAATCAGGTGTGGGCACAGGTGGGGCTCGGCACGGGCAGGCTGCCCAGGGAGTCGGGGAGGGGAAGGGGCGTCTGCACAGGTGTCAGGGCAGATTGGAGGTGTGGGAGGCCCTGGCTGTGGCAGGACTCAGGCCAGGGCAGTGACCACTGGGCCTGGCAGCACATGGTCACGCCACTCTGACTGCCCATCCCCGCGGGTGAGGGGTGGAGGTCAGAGGGACCTTGGCACCAGCTGTCAGTACCTGGAGCTCTGCAGGGGTGTGCTGGGGTGGCTGGGAAAGAAAAATGGTGGCAGCGGATAAGGTTCATGCCCAAGCCCCGGGGGGACCAGGCCAGAAGGGCAAGGCCACTGCCCAGGAGTCCAGGATAGCCAGGGACGTGGGTCCTACAGGGCCAAGGGGAGGCGGTGAGCACACAGGGGTCCCTGGGCGCAGAGGACATGGGGGACATTGAGATCCGAGGGGGAGGCTGGACGGCCTGAGAGGCCAGGCTGACCTGCTCGCTAGGGCAGCAGCGCAGACTGGCGGGGCTCGGGGACTGGATCATGGACGTGGTCACGGCAGCAGCACATGGGGACAGGGTTAGGGAAGGTCCTGGCCCTTGGGCGGCCTCCTTGCAGCTGAGGGAGGCTGCCTTCCTGCCTCTTCCTGGGGCCTGTCCTTAGGCTCAGCCCTTCTGGCCTCAGTTTCCTGCACTGGGGTCTGAGGGTGTGGGGTCAGCCTGTCACCCTCAAGCTGTAGGGTCCCAGAAATGTTCACTGGCAAGACTCCCAGGGGCTGCACCCCTCTTCCCCGGGCTGCGGGTGGGCTGCTGCAAGCTGGTGGGCAGAGAGCCTTCAGGGCTTGACATTCCAGGCCGGGCCCGACCCCGAGCCCTCTCCATACCTGTAAGGCCTGGGCAGAGGCAGGTCACTGGGCTGCATGGCCAGGACTCAGCCGGCACCCCAGCCTGAGCCAACAGCCCAGCTTCCAGCAACAGCCACCACATACAGGAGAGCCCAGCCAGGGCCCTGGCTCAAGCCCCAGCCGGGCCAACAGAGACCCAGACCCCCAAGAACAGGGCACTTGGCTAGAAGTAACAGTAGGACATCGGGCCAGAAAAACCGGGGACGAAAGGAGGCCACCTCCCCAGGACAGGTCCCCCTAGTTCCACAGAAGAGGCAGGAACACCTCCTTGGGCAGGCCCCATGTGATGCCACCTGGGCACAGCGCAGTGCAAGTGGGGACAAGTGCTGAGTCCAGAGCAGGACCCAGAAGCACGGTGGCCTCTAAGCGGGCCAGGCTTAGGAGGCAGAGTGGGACCTCAGGGCCACGAGTCCACAGGGAGGTCACGGCCACACAGAACAAGCCCGGCTCCTTCCCAGTCTTCAGCACAGGGCCCTGGCAGACAGGGCCAGGGTCTGGCACGGACATGAGAGGAGTCCTAAAGACTCCACCAGGGAGATGTGAGCCTGGCCCCATGTAGGGGCACCTCCCAGCTGCCAGCACCCCTGCCCAAGCCTGGAGCCCCCAGAGGCAGCCGCTGCCCGTCTAGGCCAGGGTGGGGAACCACAGCTGACAAGTGGAGGGACCACCGTAGCCGGGAACCAGAGGCTCTCGTGTCCGCAGCTGCTGGCCTCCCAAAGCCATCCACGGCAGCCTCACGGCCCTGCTGGTGCCTGGGTGCTGGGAACCCCGGTCGCCCGTGCTGGTCACTCTCACAGACCTGTGCACACCTGTGTGTGGTCACCCGGCCCCGCCCTCGCTCCTTCCACAGCCCCCAAGTCCTCAAGGGCACACCGCTGAGGGGCTGGGGGGCCGGCACGGGCTACTGAAGGCCCCACTGCCCACTGCTCTCACCCCCCAGGGGACGTCTTCCCGTGCAAGGACTGTGGCATCTGGTACCGGAGCGAGCGCAACCTGCAGGCTCACCTCCCCTCCCCCCCCGCCCCCCCCCCCGGCCCCCCCCCCCCCCCCGCCACGGCCACCGACGAGAAGCCCAAGGAGGCCTACCCGCACGAGCGCGTCTGCCCGTTCCCCCAGTGCCGCAAGAGCTGCCCCAGCGCCAGCTCACTGGAGATCCACATGCGCAGCCACAGCGGTGAGCCCCGGCTTCCCACGCGCCCAGCGCCCGCTCGGGCTGCACGGGGGCGGGCTGGTGCCCGGGCGGCCGAGCACTGGCTCAGGGCCCTGCGGGGCTCCCCCAGGCCAGGCGGGGCCCAGCAGCCGTGTCACGCCCTGTGTTGCAGGAGAGCGGCCCTTCGTGTGCCTAATCTGCCTGTCGGCCTTCACCACCAAGGCCAACTGTGAGCGGCACCTGAAGGTGCACACAGACACGCTCAGCGGTAGGTGGGCGGCGGCGGCAGGCGTGCGGGTGGGCGGGCCGGCTCTGGCGCGGTCCTGACCGGCATGGCACCACCGCAGGTGTGTGCCACAGCTGTGGCTTCATCTCAACCACGAGGGACATCCTCTACAGCCACCTGGTGACCAGCCACATGGTCTGCCAGCCGGGCTCCAAGGGCGAGGTCTACACCAGCAGTACCGCGCACCCCGCTGCCAAGCTCCCCCCAGGTCAGAGGCTGGCTGCCCCTTGGCCCCCTGGGGCGTAGGAAGGGAGGGGCTTTACCCAGTAGGCCCCTGTCGCCACCTAGAGCTCCCCCTAAGGCCAGGCCCTGCCCCAGGCCTGAGGCGCACCTGTGATTCCCCTGCAGACAGTCTGGCCGGCTTCCAGCAGCACACGGCCCTCCACGGCCCCAGGGCCCCCACAGACCTGAGCCAGGTGCCTGTCCTGTCACCAGGAGTGGACAGGAAGACCCCAGCTGAGGCCACCAATGGAGAGGCCAAGGCAGGCCCCCAGAACGGCGGCAGCAGCGAGCCCGTGGCAGTCCCCAAGAGCGTCAAGGTGGAAGCTACGGAGGAGCCAGAGGCCTGCCGAGCCCCAGGCCCCGCAGAGACGGGGCCCCAGGCACCGTCCCGGACACCGTCACCGCGCAGTCCTGCTCCAGCCAAGGTGAAGGCCGAGCTGTCCACTCCGACTTCAGGTTCCAGTCCTGTGCCCGCCGAGCTGGGCCTGGCGGGTACCCTCTTTCTGCCGCAGTACGTGTTCGGGGCGGATGGAGGCACGGCTCCTCCGGCCTCGGAGATCCTGGCCAAAATGTCGGAGCTGGTGCACAGCCGGCTCCAGCAGGGCACAGGCGCACCGGGGACGCCCAAGGGCGCCACGTGCTTCGAGTGCGAGATCACGTTCAACAACGTCAACAACTACTACGTGCACAAGCGCCTCTACTGCTCTGGCCGCCGCCTGCCGGAGTACGCACCCGCCGCGCGCAGGACCACGCCCTCC